AGAGGAAAGGCATGTATCTTTGGTAATGAAGGGGATATTTAAAAACAGATAACAACAATGAGAAACAACCAAAATAACAAAACAGCTATTTACCAGGAAATAGGGCAGAGGAAAGATGCTATACACAGGCTGGGACTTGGTTTTCCAGAGAGAAGCCTGTACATCCACTTTCAACTTCTGCCAGGTATCAATGCAAAAGGAAATCAAGCACAGGAATTCAGAGACCTGGAGGTAGGGGAGTTGCTGTGATAAGGGGAAAGGATTTCCAGGAGCTGCTACCTACAGAAGCTTATATATCCCTTTCCTGTATAGACAGCTACTTCAGTTGTAGTCTGAATTCCCTAGCAGACCTGTGTTTTCACCTTTTGGGGAAGCTCCACCCAGGGTAGTACTCTAGCTGTTGTCTGCTGACCCCTAGCATAAGCCTTTTCTTTTCTCAGTGACTTTAGTGCTTGGCTCACCATCTTTCCTCATTCTCTCTCAACCCCCCCCCATCTGATCTCTTGCCAAGGCCTTTTGTTTTCACCCCTGCAACATCTCTTGTATACACCACCCCCTTCTCTCTGACACTGCCACCTCCAGTACAAGCCCTCATCACCTCACACCTGGACTATTTCAGTAGCCTGCTGGTAGGTCTGCCTGCTTCAAGATTCCAATCCAGTCCATCCTCCATTTGGCCACTTAAGTGATTTTCCTAAAGTGCCTTGCCTCCAGCATCAAATACAAAATGCTCTGGCATTTAAACCCTTTATAAACTAGCCTCCTCTTATCTTTCCAGTCTTCTTATATCTTACTCCCCACGTGTATTCTTCAGTCCAGTAACATTGCCTACTTGGCTATTCCACAAACAAGGCATTCCATCTCCCAGTTCCAGGCATTTTCTCTGGCTGTCTTCCATGCCTAGAACATTCTCCCTCCTCCTATCTGACTAACAGCTTTCCTGGCTTTTTAAGTCCCAACTCAAATCCCATTTTTTATAGGAAGCTTTTCCCAACCTCTTTTAAAGTGCCTTCCCTCTGTTAATTATTTTCTGTTTATCCAGTATATAGTTTGCACACACACACACACACACACACACACACACATACTCTCTCACTCACTCACTCACTTACACATACTCACACTCTGTCTACACCAGTTGATTGTTAGCTAATTGAGGGCAGGGACTATCTTTTACCTCTTTTTTGCATCCTCAGCATTTAGCACAGTGCCTGGCACACTGACGATTAATCAGTGTTTATTGATTGATTAAAGTCTGGAGGAGTAGAATAGATCCCAGAGGAATGGAGAGGCCTATGGGAAAGCAAAATGGGAGTGGTATTAGATGTTTTGTTAGCCTAAGTTCTTGCATAGAATTGTAGGGCCATTAGATACTGGTAAAATTCTGTTCCTAGTAGAAATCCTGAGCTGGGGAATGGACCAAAAAACAATTAATTATTGAGAAGCCTCAAGATTGAACCCAGTCCCTCTGAGCTCAGAGCTTTATTAATAAGCCATAGGTTGTGCTTATTTTTAAGAGTATATTATAAACAAAGAGGTTTCTTTCCTAATATTACCAAGGTTTATAAAAAAAACATTAAAAATTGAGAGCTAGCATAGTGTGATGGACCAGTTATTGACCCTGGGGTTAGGACAAGAGTTAAAGTACTCTTTGGACACATATTAGTTATGTGACTGTGGGCAAATCATTTAATCCCTCAGTGCCCAGGTATGATTTTAAATTACAGTCTTAATCTGCATTGGTGGAGTTTGCATACCAGCATGTTTATAGTAACACTTTTTGTGGTGGCAAAAAATTGAAAACTAAGAGGAGTGCCCATCAATTGAGGAATGGCTGAACAAATTGTGTTATATAAATACAATAGAATACTATTGTGCTGTAATAAATGATGAAAAAGAACATTTCAAAGAGACATAGAAAGACCTAAATGAACTGATAAAGAGGGAGGTAAACAAGATCAGAGCAGTTTATATTAGAACATTGGTATTATAAAAACTTGAAATTCTGAAAGACTTAAGAACTTTGATCAAGTAAATGATCAGCCATGATTCCAGAGGATTGCTAAAGAATTTTGCCTACCCACTGGCGTGCCCCTCCTCCTCCCAGTGAATGGGGGAGGTAAGGGGGAGAAAAAATGAAAGCTTGATAGTGGGGGGAGGGTTTAAATAAAGAAATATTAGGTCTAGTCCAAACAATGGGTATGGGCATGCATACCATAATCCTATATTCACAGAGTCAGAAGCAACTGTAAAGTCATCTGGTTGAAACTTCTCATTGTACAAATGAGAAAACTGAGGCTCCCAGAGGTGACACCCGTTACCATCACATCGGCGGTAACAGAGCTGTGATTTCAACCCAAATCCTGTCCTTTCCCCATTGTTCAACACTGCCTTTTAAAATGTGTGCAGTCATTAACTTCTAGAGTACCACTGAATTACAAAGATTAAAATAACCCCAAAATTACTATAACAAATTGAATTTTGAACTTGCTTTTTACAGAAAAGCAGATAGTACAGTATAGACTGAATACTTTAGATTGGCTTTTGTATAACTCTCATGTAATTTATGATGGGTCACTTTGATGGTACTACTAATATTTAGGTACATAAAAAACTAATAAAATTGTTTTACACACTTATATGTTCATAAAAAGCATTAGCTTTTGACCCTGTGGTAGATCTTGACCAGCATCTGGCTTCTCTGATTGAATACTGGCCTGGTTGATGATCCTAGACACTTGTGATTTTCTGACACCATCTGCCTTTGTTTCTGATTGCATTCCCCACTCTAAGTAGGTTACATGACCAGTTTCTATGTATAGACCATGGGCTGGCCAGGTCCGGGAAGTCTGTTCATTAATTTCTCTGCAGCAAGAAAACATGAGACTTTAGTGGCTGACTGCTTTTTTAATTCAAATTCACAAACATCTACTAAATGCCTTCTGTGTGTAATATAAAAATAAAACGAAAAACCCAATACTCCAATTAACAAAGCAGTCCTTCCTCTCTAGAACAGGGGTGGGTAACCTGGGGTCTCCAGGCCAGACCAAAAACACTTAACATAAGGATCTGTTCTGTAAAACTCTGACTCAGTCAAAAGGCCACACCCAAGGACCTAGAAGGCCCCATGTGGCCTTGAGGCGGTATGTACCCTACCCCTACTCTAGAAGCTCGTATTAGGAGGATACAACATGCATATTGATGAGTTAATGTTAGGAATTTGAAGAGACTCTTATATAGTGAAAATATCCTTAACAATCCTAAAAAAGAAAAGTTTTATAATTTTTTTTTTCTGGAAAGAGAACGACAGATTAGCAATTCATCCTTGTCCTAGGCCACACACACACACACACACACACACACACACACACACACACACACACACACACACACACACACTCTCACTCTCTCTCTCTCTCTCTCTCTCTCTCCCTCCCTCTCCCTCCCTCCCTCCCTCTCTCCCCCTCCCCCTCTCCCTCCCTTCCCTCTCTCTCTCTCTCTCTCTCTCTCTCTCTCTCTCACACTCACACTCTATCTACTCCTCCACATGAAGCCAAACAGATTTCATTTCCAAGGTGGGGACAGGAGAGGGGGGGAGCCCGAGAAAAGGAAGGAAAAGCACTAGTAGTCACTCTCCTGTTTGGCAGAAGAATTGCCCATCAGTGTACCTATATGGCCACTGAAAAGTTGAAGTAGCCACAATGTTACCTACTACTTCATCTTCCAGAAGACAAGAGAGGCCCTGCTTGCTGCTTAGCTGGAGGCCGTTGCTCTTATGGTCAACAAGAAGGAGATGGAGCAAAGTCCTGAGGGAGACCCTTGAATTGAAGCCCCATCTATGGCTGATCACCCAGTCAGGTCACTTGTTTCTAGTCATTTATTTTCTTGTTGGAATGCAAGCATCCTCCTCAGCTCCTTCTCTGAGAGCAAAACAATATTTTATCTGTTTCCTTCTAAGTTCTGCTAGGTTAGTGGAAATGGTGTTCCTTTTCCAAAGAAAGAGTCATTTTAGAGTCAAGGGGTTCCAAGCATCTGCTATATCAAAAGGGGTGGTTTCCCTTTTCCAGAGGAGTCAATTTAGTCGTAGAAACTGGCTACCTTATCAGTCCATGACCTATTAGGGACCACTCCTCTACTTACTCAAGCCAAGTAAGGAAGGCATAGTTAATTCTATAGACTTCCCTCAATTCAAACAACTAGAAGTTATTTGTTGTTAATTGTTATGTTCCTGAGGGTGGTAGAACTGAAGAAATCTGCTAACAGTTGCCCCTTTATTGATGGGCTGATGTATCAAGAGATACTCCTAATATACTAGCAGGTGGACCAGTCACCAGGCTCTTTTTAATATTTGGGGCAAGAGTAAACACTGCTAAGCTTCACTGACTGAGGTGACACCTGAGTTGAGTCCTAGGGCAAACAAGGAAGGAATACATTGAAGGCAAAGGGGTGGTAGAGGATGTGTTGAATTTGGGAACAGCTACTAATTCTTTATTTCTTTTTTAAATGGAACATAGTGTCTGTGAGAGAAAGTAATGTGAAATACAGCCAGAAAGGTGGTCTGGAACCAGATTGTGGAATGATTTAATAGTAGACCTTCCGCTCCATCTTGAATTCTGATTTTTGTATGCTTTTTGGGTCCAAGCCAGTCCCTTGATATATGATTTTGAACTCTTATATCTAGGCTTTTTTTTTTTTAACTTCTTTTTAACTTTTGATCCCAGCTCTTCAATCCACATCCACCTACAAATTGGCAGTTTGTCTCTGTCCTTACTGCTTCTGTTCCTCTCCCTAATCTACCCAACCAGAAATTCCCTACCCTTCCAATTTTTTTTAATGATATTAATCTAGGTGACTGAGGAAAATGCTGTCATGAGTAAAACCCACAAATTTAAGTACCAAAAATACAGTATCAGCTGAAAGAAATTGTCTCCCTCCCCTTCCCCAAATATATAAAATAGCTGCATATTTTATTTTTTAACATGATTTCTTTTTTTAAACAGGAAGAAGAGAATTCATCCAAAGATTAAAACTTGAAGCAACACTGAATGTGCATGATGGCTGTGTAAGTGTTAACTTGTTATATCTAAAAGATTCAAATTTAATTTTTGGAAAGTAGGATAAAATGCTTTCATTCCTTAAAGATGAGCCATATAGTTAATTTAAACATATAATAGAAGAAGAGAGGAACAGGACACAAAGCTATTTGAGTTATAATATAAATTTAGACTCTTCAGGTCTTTATGAAATGTAGCGGAAATTTACAAGAGTTGCTTTTAAATGTCTATATTTTTAAAATGCACTGAAGCCATAAAGGAGATATGTAATGGAAACCAGGACTTTGGTGGAACAGCAGGGAACTATCACCTTGTACATAGAGAATGGATGATGCCCAGAATGGCACAGAAGAGAAAAAAAAAGATAATGGTGAAGATAGTATCTTCTAGGATAAAAACAGAAGCTGACTTGATAAAAAGTGGTCATCGTACAGAAAGCAAAAGGGGAGCCCTGGAGATCTAACTGAGAGAAACGTCTTCCCCTAGAGATAAAGATGGTTGTAGAAATGGTGACTCTGTCTAGGATTAAAGGAATGGATGATGATAACTCACATTTATATAGTACTTTTAGGCTTGCAAAACACTTAATATATATTATTTCATTTGATCTTTACAACATCTTTGTGAGGTTGGTGTTATCTCCATTTACAGATAAGGAACCAGAGGCTTAGATTAAGTGATTTGTTATTGATCATACAGCTAAATAATGTTACAGGGAGGGTTTGAACCCAGATTTCCTCTGACTCTTAAATCCAGGACTCTTTCTACTATACCAGTAAATAGACTAGAGACATTTGGTTCATTATTTGTGAACCTGAAATGTGAGCATGTGTTAAAATAGTAGACGAGGGGCAAGGGTAGGATGCTGTGGGGGGGTTTGAAGAGCCAGAGTCAGAGTCTCACTAGAGATCCTAGAACTGGGGAGGGTCCTTCTGGTCATCTGGTCCAACCTCCTCATTTTACAGGTGATGGAATATGCTTGGAGGAATTAAGGGACTTACCTAAGGTCACAATGGTAATTAGTAGGAGAAATGGATTCCAGTGGAAGTCTTCTGACTCACCTTGGTAGATTGGTGGTTGCTTTGGGGCCCTGGGCACATTATGTTTAAGATGTATACTCTTAGCCAGTCTGGACTTGTGGCCCCTGGCAGATCACTTAATCTCACTGCATCTCTTTTAAGTATTCTTATCTGTTAAATGGAATTAATAATACTTGCAGACCTCTTTTACGGGGTTATTGTGAGGAAACTGCTTAAGTACTATATATTATTTTGATATATAATGAAATATACACTTGGATAATAGGAAGTTAACGGTACATTCTTGACGTTCCATCATCTAAACTTCTTGGAATTAAAGTACAGACATATTCCATTGAAAAATCACCATGCTATAATGACATAAGTTGTAACCACACCCACTGTAAAGGTCACACCAATACCCCCTCCCCCTACACACACACACACACACATGCGCGCGTGTGCGTGCTCCCGTGCTTGCCTCAGCCCTGTCACTCACTTTATCTTTGTGTTTTTCATTCCTTAGTCCTGGATTTGGTGGCTGATCTTTCCTTCAGTCCTGGGGAAAGGTCCCCTGCTTCTTGCTCCTTAGGTGGCTACTCTTCCTGCTGCTGAAAATAGCTCCTTGGCTAGAAAAAACCCCTCCTCTTTCTGCTGTTCTGCTTTATCATTACTCAAGTTGCCATTCTGCAGATTACTGGAAAAAGCCAGTATTGTAGGGTTGTTAAAAATCTCAAAAAGATGTGGAATGCTTACGTAAAGAGTCCATTGCTGTCACCTTTAGCCTTTTTGAAGCAGCCCTGTCTACAGCTGAGGTGTTGGGTTAACATGCCACTTTGCTGCTTAGAGAACAAAGGAAAAGAAACAAATATATACATATAAAAACTTTTCTGCAGAGGTCATTGGTGCCTTCTGGATCCCTGGGCTTAGCTTATCTTCTTGAAAATTTAGTTATTGTCTCATTGATTTCTAGTCTTTTGAAGAAGGTAGAGAAGATTTGGCTCCTGAAATCCCCAGCCCCACTTCTAATTAATTGTCCTAGCCCTTCTACTTGTTGCATTAGGGCTCAGCCCTTTTCCATTGGTCATGGAAGATGGATTGTACACTCTCCAGATGTGTACAGTAACTTTTGAGAAACAGTGTCTTGACTTAACCAAGGCATCTTTCTGCCCTGACCCCATCTTAGACTGGAGGTTGGCATTCTTTTTGTTTTTTGCTTTTTGATGAGGCAGTCGAGGTTAAGTGACTTGCCCGTAGTCACATAGATAGTAAGTGTCAAGTATCTGAAGCTGCATTTGAACTCAGGTCCTCCTGACTCCAAGGCTGGAGCTCTGTCTACTGCGCCACCTAGCTGCTCTGAGCTTGGCATTCTTAAAGAAGAAAGAGCTGTACTTTCTCTTCTTCTGGCATTATCACTTTTTCTCTTACCCAAACTGTGACTTCAATACTCATGGGTATCATAGGATCCTATGAGATGTACAAAAGATATTAGAGGCCATTAAGTCTGAACTCTTTATGAGGAACTTGAGGAACATAGCAGTTATGTGATTTGTCTAGTGTCACACAGCTAATGTTTTAGGTGAGATTTAAACTCGGGTGTTCTTTACTCCAAGTCCAATGCTGTATGCACTGGGCCATCCTGCCTGTAGGAAACTCTCGCTGGGGAAATGTTCTCTTCTAATGCAGATTGGCAGCTATTCTTAGCTTAGTCTCTACAAAGGCTCCTTTCCCCCAACCCCCTATTCACATTTCGTGACTGGTTCTTTATACTGTCACCTGTCATTGGTCCCTCCTCTCGTCTTCCCCGCCTAGGTTAAATAGGCAGATCTGTTCTGTTGGAAGCCAACTAGCAGCAAAACTCGGGTATTTCTCTTTAAGATTTGGGGTATTTGGTTTCCACACTTCAGGGCTATTAGTATGTCCAAGTCGCCCAGTTCCACATAATTTCAGTTCTCTCTAAAAAGAGATTTTTTTAAAAGCCTTGATAATTTTGTTGCCACAAGCATGGCTTCTCTCTGAGAATAGTGGTCTAACCAAGTGACTTTTCAGTCTTCATTCTCACTGGTGCATTTCTGGCTACTCTCACAAATCCAAATGTGGTAGCATCACTATTCTTGATGGTTAAAAAAAAAAGTACATGATAAAGAATCTTTACAGGGAACAAAATCATTGCCACTAGGATGAGAAGGAAAACTGTTGATTGGGGGAAAAAATCTTTACAGCAAATGTTGCTGATAAGGGTCTGAAATTCAAGATATAGTTAGAACTAATACAAAAAGATGAGATTAAAATCCATTTCCCAGTGGATAAGTAGTCATGAACAAATATTTCTAAAAAGAAAACTTGCCAACTGTAACCATATGAAAGATTTCTCTAAATCATTAATAAGACGAATGCAAATCCCTCTATTGATGTTTACTACTTCTTTGGCTTTGGGTAGATCACTTAAGATCTGTGGACCTCAGTTTTATCTGTAAAAAAAATGAGGGGGTTGGATCCTTGGAGATTGCTTTGGGCTCTGGATACGTAAACTCTATAGTTTCTTCTTACACCCAGCAAATTGGCAGAGTTGGTGCACTGATACACCATTGGTGGAGCTGTGAATTTATTCAGCAACTCTGGGGAACTGTTTGAAATTAGGATTGAAAAAAGGAACTGAAGAGTCCATGCCCTTTAACCCAGAAATCATACCCTTAAATATATTATCCCAAGGGGGTCAAAGACTCTTATCTCTTGAGGAGAAACTCTCATGTCAAAACATTCATAGTAGCACTTTTTTGAACTCTCCTATCTTATTCATAATCCATGTTTTCTTAGTGTCTTATTTCCACTTTTCAATTAAAAACACCAGAGTATCAAAATATATGTTGGTTTAATTTGAAGGGTCTCACTAAGTTCTTGGTAGAATTTTTCTACCTCTTCATCCTCTGCCACAGAGGTGGTATATTGGGGTATAAGTTGCAGTCATTTTCCTGGTTCTCTTTTTGCAAATACTTGATTGTACCTACTTTAATACTAGGTGACTATACCTTGAAATGATGATTCTTGTGCACATTGGGTGCATGATAAAACCAAACTCCATCTACTCATTTTTTCCCTCTGTAAGAGCATATGGGTCTTATATTTTCCTGCAACTTCCTTCTATATCCTTTTATAGAAAGAATATCAAGAGTGATAAGATTCAGTTCCTTCAGTAGCATCCCCATCTTGAAAAGGTCATTAAAGTTTATAGATGATCTAAGGACTGTGTGATTCTTAGCTTCCTGTATGTCACTTTCTGCCACTAGCCCACTGTCAGTACAGAAGTGGAAGGCAGACATATAGGACTAAGGGCCGTTTTGTATTTTTGTTTGTTTCATGGGTTGCCATAGCCAAATAGTTCATTACCACATGGCTAACCAATCCGTCTGTACTTAGTCTGGTCCTTGGAAACTATTGTAGGGGTCATAAGCACATTGTTTTTAACATGGTAAAACCTTCCACAGCTTGAGCTTTAAACTTCAAGAACAATGGTCACCTCCATGCCATGATGAAAGAATCAGGGATTAACATAGTAGCCATGGAGATGAAAATGGGGGGCCTGGGGTTAGAGAAGGAGAAAGTATCATTTCCAGGCTCATAGGGGCAAGGGAGTTGGTAGAGGATGGAGTATTAGCATCAGATTGAGAAAATTTGGGAGTTAAAAGGAGAGACGATTCAGGGTCTGGGGTCACAGGGGAAGGTAATGTAGAATCTATCTAGTTTTAGGGGGAAAAGGAAATATGAGGGTTCAGGGCAGAGAAGGAAGGGGATAGATAGATGTTCAAAGAAAGAGAAAAGTATATGAGGGACAGAGCCAGAAGGATGTGGGTTGGGTATTGACAGAAGGATATGGAATAGGTATAGAAATTGGTCCCAGAGTCCTTCAGGGCTAGGAAGAAGTTATGAGGGAGAAAGGAATTATTTGTCAGAGTTTGTTGGGTGGGATAGATTCAGTACAGTGTAGGATATCCTGCTCCATAGCCTCCAACAAGCGCTCACAGTCCCACTCCTAGCGTGTGTTTTCCATTGTGTGTCTGGGATGACCTTCAGCTCTCTTACCAGAAGCCTCATCTCTTGACAAAAAGCATTCTTCTGGTGAATATTCACCAGCTTCTGCTGTCTAGGCCTCTCATCCAGGATGCAGGTCAGCTCCCTTAGCTGGCACCTGATTTCCAAGGAGTCAGTGACTGAGGCCATGGATTGGGAAGGACCAGGGAACACAGAGAAGGTTCGGGGTAGGGGGGAGGGGGAAGAAGAGAAGGGGAAAAAGTATGGGTCACTTTATTACTATTCAATTTCATTTTATTAGATTTGACTCAGCATTCTGACTGATTATAATTGGATGAAATTTAGTATATCTTTCTGGAAATACTGAAGTCTCCTGAGGATCGGTTAAAGGAATTGGGAACATTTGAGCCTGTGTAAGCAGGATGGCTGTTTGCAAGTGTTTCCAAGGGCAGTCACATGGCAGGAGGATTGAACTTGTTTCTCTTGTCTCCCACAGTGAAGAACTCTGTTGCAGAGTCAGACTTAAGATTTGATTCAGGAAAAAGCTTCCTAACAGAACTTCTCAGAAGTGGAATGACCTGCTTGAGGCCTTCAAGCAGGAGTCTAGAGTTCCATTTGTAGGATGACATTTTTGATCAGATTGAGTTAGACCAGAGACCTCTGAGATTTCTGAGAAACTCTTGGTTTCTGTGAAACATTAATTTCTTAATTCTGTTTTTTCCCCCTTTCCTTTTTCTTTTCAATAATGTTAGGACCACTGGTTCATAGGATTGATTTATAGCATTTCAAATCAAAAATCCATAAAACAATATAGAAAAACATCTTTACAGCATGATGGGAAGAGATTTCTGAATATATTGTTTAAACTTCTTACTGAATTCTAATTTTATTATATGTAAATTTTCAAATTATTAAGTAATGATTAGCTGACTTTTTTGTCTTAATGTCACTTTGTTTTTAAAACAATTCTCTTTGCTGTTATAGGTGAATACAATCTGTTGGAATGACACTGGAGAATATATTTTATCTGGTTCAGATGACACTAATCTAGTAATCAGTAATCCCTACAGCCGAAAAGTAAGTATTTTTCTAAAAAATCATACAAATTTGTGGGGAATAGTCAGCCGAGAAAAGCAATCAGTAAATATGATGTAGTATCCTTTTTCCATGTGTACTGTTGTATCAGAGTACATATTTCACTCACTTTCTTCTTAGTCCTCTTTACAACTGAGGTTATGTACTTGAAAGTTTTCCCTTTTTAGGTTTCTAGTTAAATTTTTCAGGTATCTCTCTCACCTTTTTTCCATACATGAGCAAAGATGATTGTATAGATATGTTTGATTCATTTCCTTCTCCCATCTAAGTCCTTTTCCTTGGCCATGGCATTGTGGGTGATGAGCAGTCCTCTTGATGTGTTTTTACCTTATTGCAGACAAGCAGACCAGAGCCCTGGAAATGATGTGGCTGCCCAAGACTACACAGCTCTTCAGTGTCCTCTGAGTGTCAATGCTTTGCCATCTTTGTGGTCTCAATTAATTGTGCTACCTCAATGGCATCACTCTTTTCTTCAGTTTTGTGGCACTACTGCTGGATTTTTTGCTCTGAGCATAACTGTTTGTTTTGCTCTGCTTCACTCCAAACATCTTCTTGCCCTCTGAGTTCCAACTTTTCAGGTCTGACCTCATTTTCTTAATTCACATTCCCTTTGAAAATACTGCTGGGCATTGTCAGAACCTCCTGATTATGTGACTTTACAAGAGGATTGTTTTCCTTCACAAATTCCATGTGATAATTAAATAACATTGTCAGCATTTCTTCTATTCTCTTTTCCTCATTGGGCAATTAAGTTTTTTTTTAACCATTATTTTTAATAGTTTTTCTTTGTTCATAGAAAGAAGCTCTGACACAACTGTAAGCTAACCATTTTGCTATGCAGGTGTTTCTTAACATCAACTTTTGAACTATTGCTGTTCAAAAGGCATCTCTTCAGCCTGAATTTCCTCAGATTTTGAAATCATGAGTCCATTATTATAAAATAAGTAGTGATTATATCTCTCAACTTTCAGCTCCCATTAATTTATTGTAATGTTCTCTGTATGTGATACTTAATCATAACTAAGAACCATATCCCCAGTCGCCTTTCTTTCTGAGTCGTCTAGGTTTCTAACTTCAGATTTATCCCTGATTGTTCTCTTTCTCTTGGCCCCATATACATCATTCAGTTGCCAAGTCTTGTCAGGTCTGTTTCCACAATATCCTTTGTATCCATCCTTTCCTCTCTGCTCTATTTGTAGCATTTTAGATTTGAAATCCACAAAAACAAGCCCATTTTTAATTTTAAAAAATCTTTGTACCATGGTGGTAAGAGAATTGTGAGTAAATTGTTTAAACTTCTAATTGAATTATAATTTTATCATAAGTGTTAATTCAGAGTTAGGAAGCTCCCCCCTCATCAAGGCCTTCGAAATCTCTTGTGAAGACTGTTTTCACAGCTTCCTAATTGGTGTCCTTGCCTCCAAGCTTTTCCTTTTTTTCTCCACCACTGCACAAACCTGACCTTTCTGGGCACAGATCTGACCAAGTCCTTGTTCTGCTGCAATACTTGCTGTGATTCCCTCATTGTCTCTAGCATAAAATACAGACTCAGCCTGACATCAGCCTACTTGTCCAGCTTTCTTCCCCCTTACTCTCGTCTCCGAGATCTGCATTCTGGCCATACTGAGGTGCTGACTGGTCCTTACACTTAAGCTATCCATGCTCCACCTCCATCCATGGCCCATCTCCTGCAGTTCAAATACTTAGGCCCCTCAGCTCTGTCTGTGAATTTTAATTTTCTTCCATACCGCACGTTAGGTGCCACCTCTTCTGGTAAGACTTTCTTGATTCCTCTACCTAGTTGTTAGTGCTCACTAATTTTTGAAATTATATTGTATATATTGCTTCCCCAGGGAAGAATGTAGGAAAGGAATCTTCACTATTTCATTTCTTCCCTGCCGTCTTCCTCCTTAACTGTTTAGAGTCTGGCTATCATTACCATCTTCCTAGAACATCCTCTCCCATTTTAATTACAGAAGCCAAAAGCCTTGTTTCACTCTTTATCCTGTTTTACCTTTCATCTGTATTTGATACTGTTAGCTGCTCTAGCTCATGTCTTACTCTTCCCTTCCTTAACTTCTGTGACACTGCTTTCTCCTGGTTCTCCTCCCTGTTGGAGTCTCTATTCTAGGTCTCCTTCACTGACTTACCTTCCTTCCCCTCTGACTCCTAATGGTGCGTGCTGTCCATGGCCCTGTCTTTAGCAGCCGCCTTTTTTTTTTTTTTTAATTTATTTTCTTTCTTTTTTTTTTCTTTTTCTTTCCCCGGCTAGGCAATGGGGTTAAGTGACTTGCCTAGGTTCACACAGCTAGTAAGTGTTATGTATCTGAGGCTGGATTTGAACTCAGGTCTTCCTGAATCCAGGGCTGGTGCTCTTTCCACTGCGCCACCTAGCTGCCCCCTTTAGCAGCCTTCTTATCTCTAGATACTCTCCTTTGGTGAGTTTACCCATCCTTATGGTTTAAATTCTCATCCACTTGCCTCTTCTGTACAGGTTTTTAGGCTGGTCCCTTTTGAGTAGTTCTTCATGGATCTTGTTATGAAGACCCTGTAATGTTCTGAGGTTTGATTAAATCAGCACACAGTGTCATCCATGCCCCATCACAAATCTTCAATGATTCCTTAGTGACTCTAGGATAAAATCCAAATTCCTGAGTCCAGCATCTAAAATTCTTCACAGTCTGCTTCCAGCCCATCTTTAGACTTAGTTCACATTCTTCCCCTTGACACATTTTACCTCTCAGCCGAGCTAACCTACTTGTTGTTTCCCAAACTTGTTCTTCCACTCCTTGCCTCCATGTTTTGTAGTTGTTCATTACCCCGTAGATGCCTTCTCTCCTCACTTCTAACTCTTAGAATCCTTGGGGCCTTTTAGGGCTTAGCTGGTGTGTTACCTCCTGTAAGAAGTCTTTCCTGTTCCCCCAGTTCTCAGGCTTTCTCCTTTCTCACGTTATGTCATAGTTGTTTTTCTCTTTAGATGTCATACTCTCCAGGGCAGTGTAAGTTCCTTTAAGCAAGGACTGTTAAGTGTTTGTTTTGTGTCTCCTGTGCCTGTCATGGGACCTTACACAGAGTAGGTGCTTAATAAATGTTTGCTGAATTAAATCAAATTGAATTATCATCTCTAGAGGATCTCTCTACTATTTGAACTTCATAGGAGATATCCTCCATGACAGTGATGAGCACTTGAGTGAATATATATCTTTAAAATTTTTAATATATTTAGTATTTTGTTTTTCCCCAGTTACATGTAAAAACACTTTTTAACATTCGTTTTTAAAACTTTTGAGTTCCAAATTCTCTCCCTTCCTCCCTCCCCACCCTCCTTCTGTGAAAAGGCAAGCAATTCTATACAGGTTATACATGTGTAGTCATGCAAAACATATCCATAATAGTCATATTATGAAAGAAAATATAGACCAAAAAAACTCAAGAAAATAAGGTAAGTAAAAAGAAAGTATGCTTCAATTTGTTTTCAGACACCATCAGTTATTTCTCTGGGGATGGATAACAGTTTTCATCACAAGTCTTTCAGAGTTGTCTTGGATCATTGTATTACTGAGAATAGCTAAGTCCTTCACAGCTGATCATCTCACAATACTGATATTACTTTGTACGCAGTACATTTCACTCTGCATCAGCCCATGCAAGTTTTTCTAGGTTTTTCTGAGAGCATCCTGCTCATAATTTCTTATAGTATTCCATTATCATCACATATCACAACTTGTTCATCCATTCCCCAATTGATGGACATCCCCTCAATTTCTAATTCTTTGTCCCCAGAAAAGAGCTGCTGTAAATGTTTTTGTACATGGAGGTCCTTTTCCTTTTTGGGTTTTGTTTTGTTTTTTAATCTCTTTTAGGATACAGACCTAGTAGTGGTATCTTGAAGTGGCTAGGTGGTGCAGTGGATTGAGCCCGGAAAGGAGTCAGGAAGACCTGAGTTCAAAATTGGCCTCAGACAACTTCCTAGCTGTGTGACCCTGGGCAAGTCACTTAACCTCTCTGTGCCTCAGTTTCCTCAGCAGTAAAATGGGGATCATAATAGCATCTACCTCCCAGGGTTGTTGAAAGGATCAAATGAGGTAATACTTGTAAAGCACCGAGCACAGTGCCTGGCACAGAGTAGGCATTTCATAAGTCCTGCCTTCTTTTTAGCATGTCTAAAACAGAGCTCATTATCTTTGCTCCCAAACCCTCTTCCCAGCTTTCCTATTTCTGTGTATGGCACCCAGGATCATTGGGGGTATAACCTTCAGCTTTCCTTGCACTCACCTCATGTGTCCTATAGGCTATCTGTTCTTGTTGATATCACATTCATAGCCCCCTCATCTCTCTCCCCTTCTCTTTACTCATGTAGCCACCATCCTCGTACAGGCCCTCCCTCATTGCTTCTCATCTCTCACCTATTGCAGTAACCATCTGGCTTCTCTCCCCACCTTGAGTCTCCACCCACTCCAGAGTCAGCTTCTGGAATCATAGGTTTACTCTACCCCCTCCCCCTGTGTTATCCAGCATTTAATGCCTATGCAGCCTAGCCCATTTTTGCCTTTCCAGTCTTACGTTTTACTCCCCTCCACTCCCTTTGCCTGCCATCCCGGTCTGCTGGCCTCTTCTTGTTTTTCACACATGCTGCTCCGTCTCCCTTCTTGTACGTTGACCCCAATTGTTCCTCATACCTGGAATGCTGTCCCTTCTCACACCTCTGATTCGGTGTGTCCCTGGCTTCCTTTAAGGCTCAGCTCAAGTCTGACCATTGCGCAAATCCTTTTCCTCTAAGATTCGTTTCTTTTTTATTCTGTATGCATCTTATACGCTCGTAATGATTCTCGGGTGGCCTTTCCCTTTAGAATACGGGCTCCGGAAAAGTCAGGACTGTGTTTCTGCCTTTCTTTCTCCACATCCCTTAACACAGACTGAATAAATCCTCACTGACTCACTGTGTGATCTTAACACATACATGAGAAAATACTTGCTGTGAG